GACATTTCCTCCAAGTTACCACTTAAATTTACGTTCTGAAGAGAAATAGTTTAGATGTTGGGACAGAGCAGTTGTTTACGAAAGCTGAGAATCTGATTTCTTTAAAAAACAAATCAGGTTGGAAAGGATTGCTCACTGACAAAGTAAAATGTCTAATGCAGGGTACTCCCTGCTGGCCCCTGAGGAGATTGCATGGACCTACAACCTGCCTACATACACACAATTAAAACTAAAAACAAGTCTCTAAAACATACGAAGAATAGCATCAGAAGTGATGTAATGGTCCCTTAATATCATTGGTCAGGATTCTTATGGCTGGTTCACTGGAAATCCCACAGAACAAATTATGTATTTTTGATTATGTAACTATAGCGTTGTAACAAAGGCCTGATGCATGACCTATCCGTCAATTCCAAATTCTATGCATTCCAAATCTGTGTCATTTCATCCATTTTTGCACACATTTTTATTGTATCAGTTTCCTCTGGACCCCCACCTTCAGTTTGAAGGTTCAATGCCCAAGTAGTGCCAAACAGTGACCCCCTGTTTATGTCAGCTATCAGGCAATTTTCTCATGCCCAAGGTTCTGTGTTCACACTCAGTTCTTGATTCTCAGTTTATCTCATAAGATCATAATTTTCACTTATAAATTCTATAGGTAGTAGGCCAGTACAGTTTGAATCAGAGATATATAGGATACTATATAATTATGTCTTCAATAATTTCAATAATTAGTGTATTTAAAAGCACAAGATTTGAAATACATATTTGATGGATAAAATGAATGGCTGTCTGTAGAAAAAAGTTTGAGTGTAATGAGGGAATACAGTTGAGATGTTGAATGAGGTGTTCTTCTAGATGTGAATGTCACCCAGAATTATGTCCACACTAAGACTGGATGGGACAACATCAATCCAGGATTCATGGTAATGACAAATTAGCAGACAAATGATAGCAACAAGCTGTGGGATGGTCTGTATGTCAAACTGCTCTGATTCGTCAATAAATAAAACACTGATTGGCCAGTGGCTAGGCAGGAAGTATAGGCGGGACTAACAAAGAGGAGAAAAGAAAGAACAGGAAGGCGGAAGGAGACACTGCCAGCCACCACCAGGACAAGCAGCATGTAAAGATGCCAGTAAGCCACGAGCCACGTGGCAAGGTATAGATTTACAGAAATGGGTTAATTTAAGATATAAGAACAGTTAGCAAGAAGCCTGCCACAGCCATACAGTTTATAAGTAATATAAGCGTCTGAGTGATTATTTTATACGTGGGTTGTGGGACTGCGGGGCTTGGTGGGACCTGGAGAGAAGCTCTCCAGCAACAGTATATAGCTATATGGTGAGCATAAAAACAAACAGCAAGAAGTAGGGATGCAGTGCCCAGAACTCGGGGCAAGTGGACCATCAAGCCAAGGATAACTGGATTGCAGTTCTCATCATTTACAGTGAGTGGGTCTCCAGTGCCACTTCTAGTCGATGTATGAAGGTAGAAGCAGTGTTCTCAAAGAAAGTTTAATATGTAGTGAAGCTTGCCATCCTTGGAGCAAAAGGGAAATTCCGAGTAGAAGAATTTGAGAGCCATGAGAAGGGAAAGAGAAATGAGAGAGTAGAAGGTTAATGGAAGGCAAGTGGGCAATGAAGAAATAACACCATGGGAATTTTATTGTGGCAGGACATTGGTCATTTATGATATGGGAACCCAGACTCATGGCACCAAAACTCAGTGAAAAGGGATGAGAGGATGTGGTTGGGTCAGTGACTTTAGGGACCTTTGAGGTTAGGTGCTGAGGACAGGACCTGGCTAAGAGTGAAGTAAAGCCTTAGAAAACCCCACAGAGCTCAACCAGAGGATGCCCTGCTTAGGAAGTGCTTCTAGTAGAAGGGAGTTTTAATTTATGAAATGCTAACGTGTTTCTAAAATATCGATTTCTATGAATGCTTGCACCAGGAAACACAGGGCTTTGTCAACACTGGCCCATTATGACTGGGTGACTATTTCCTCCCACTGTGACTTCATGACAAAGGTCTCAAAGTAAGAGTGTCTGAAGTTTCTCCTTTAGAATTTGCAGTATAGTATAGTATTCATAATTTCCACAAACTGCTAGATTTTCACAAATATTTTTAATTTACTCATTTGTTTAAAGAATTGAAGACATTTGTTTATTTGTTTTTTGTGGATGTGAGAGAGGGAGAGGGAATGGATCATACCACAGTGTACACACGGAGGTCAGAAGACAACTTACAGGGATCAGGCTTCCTAGTTCTTTTGTGGTGTGTGGATGAGTCAAATGTAAAGCAGTCAAATATGAGCTTATAGGTCCCAGGGACCAAACTCAGGTCAGCTCATCAGGCTTGGCAGCAAGTGCCTTTATCACTGTCATCTCAGGGGTCCCTCAGTGTTTTGATGTTGTCAGTTGAATTTGGTATGAAAAAAGTCATTAAGCTACCTTTTTCCATTAATCTTGTTTATTTATCACTACTGAGAAACTATGATTTAACATCTATCTTGGCATCCATATATTTTCCAAAAGTATGTAATTAAAAATCAAGAGTCTATGTAGATATTGAATCTTCATCATTTCAAAAACTGTGTGTTGATACTGGCTTGACAACAGATTGAAAATTTCATAATACGTTATTGACATACATTTTGTGGCTTGTGAGTGAATCGAATGTAAACAATGTGATTGTGAATAGTTCCATCTACTATCAATATTCAAAACGATCCTTTGAGTTTTCTCTGGTAGTATTACTAAGTTGCCATCCTTTGATTTTGGGAAGGGGATTTGAGAATTGTCTATAAATGACTTACCACATTATTTTAATCCTCTTCATAAACCTTTTGAGACATTGTATTTCACAGTCCGAGGCTGTCATATATTTACATGGTCACACAGCAGTATCAGGGATAGATGTTTGTTGAATGAAACAGTCATTACCACACAATATTACATGACTACCTGAAAAAACATCATGGCATTGAATTCAAACCACATTTAATGGGTTCATGAAGCTCTAAGGTTGAGCCAACTTGAGTTGGTTTCTGTTGGTCTAAACTGGTGTATACAAAGTATCATGGACTCCTATCTCAGCTTAGGCAGTTTGGTACCCTAACTAAACTGCAGCTCATGGTCAGCTTCCCTCACACTATCCTGCACATATTTTCATCACTTCATGGAAATGCAGGCCTGAACAAATAAACAATAGTGTGGATTGTTCAGCCTCCAGATGTGTCAATAGCCTGTTGGTTCAAAAAGAAGCTGTGTGGGCAAGTCAAAAGTTAAAGCAACAGGGTATTGTAAAATTACATGCAATGGACATTGATTAAAAAGGATGCAACAGATTTGTAGCCTTTAGTGTGATCATTATTCTGTACAGACAGCAGAACAAATCACTTACAGAATGACAACCAGAGTACTGTACTGGTGACCAGCAGTTATAGCCACACCATTTGTTTTGTTAACCTGGATGAATCAGGTCATCATACTGGACTCTTATTTTTTTATATATACTTCCCAAGATGTATAAGCCTTTTGTTCTATAAAACCAAGATTTAATGTGTAAAATTCTATACATAATCTGTATGAGGAACTTTAGAGACAAGTTCATTGTCTTATCCTCAGTGCCAAATTTGCTAATGTAAATGGCCAAAACTAGCTGGCTAATTTTAACCATAAATCTGTTAATGTTTTATAATCACATTCAAACTAGTAAGTTTCTAGTCTGGATTTGATTATAAAACAAAGGGCTGGAGTTTAATTTCCCCCTTAGGTCTTGAGTGTGGGATTATAACTGAAGTATCTTTTGAACTGTGCAATGTGTCAGTATAATGTCAAACATTATGACATGTCCTATGTGAGTTACCAAAGACCATTGATGTGTGCCTTAATAATTCATTGTGATGAATTCATTATGACGAATTATTATTCTCAAATTGGCCAGAGGACTTTGTCAAATTTTCAAACTTCTGATTGAAATGAGTATAAATTTAGAGCAGATATTAAAATTTCTTCTAAATAAAGCATAGAGATAAATGGGGCTGGAAAGATGGCTTAGTTGTTAAGAGCACTTGTTACTCTTCAAGAGAACCTGGGTTTGAAACCCAGAACCCACATAAAATCTCACAACTGTTTGTAACTCTAGTTCCAGGGGATCCAATGCCACCTTCTGGCTTTCTTCAGTACCAGGCATGCAGGTGATATACACACACACACACACACACACACACACACACACACACACACACACAGGCAAAACACTCATACACATAAAATTTTAAAATAAAAATAAATTTTAAAAAAGAGTAAAGCTAATGCAGGATTGATCTGTACTTATGTAATACATGACAGAGTACTGCATTGCCTGGCTATAAAGATAACAACTAGGTAAGAATGTTCTAAATGTAAAGTATTTTATAAACTTCATAAGGAAAATAGTTTCTGAAGATTATTTTCTTATCTAGAGCAACTTTTTTCCCTTTTATTTATTCTTCTCTCATACAATTTACCTGACTGCAGCCTCCCCTCCTATCCCCTCCCACCCCCTCCCACCTTCCCTCTCCCCCATATCCACTCCTCCTGCATTTCGTTCAGAAAACAGCAGCCCAACAATATCTACCAAACACGGCATAACAAGATGTAATAAGAATAGGCAAATACCCTCATATCAAGGCTGGTTGAGGCAACCCAGGAGGAGGAAATGGATCCTAAGAGCAGGCAAAAGAGTCAGAAACACCCTCACTCCCACTGCTAGAAGTCCCACAAAACCCCAAGCTAAATGATCTTTTTATTCTAGTCACTTGGCTACCCCAGAACTCCCACACTTAGATTACTAAAATACATCGAGAAACATCTGATTTATAGCTTGATTTGGCATATAGAATGTTCTCTTTCAGACATACAGAAAGAACTTGCCATGTGATAAATGTTTACCCTTGGTGTATCTCTAGAAGGCAATTATTTGGGACTGATAATTTACTTGTCCTTGCCATTTCAGAGTCACCATGCGGACAGAGCCAAGAAACTTCACCCAGATCAAGGTGGCCCACATTCAAGAATGCCGGTTGGTTTTCGGAAAGATTTGGCTGATGTGGAGAGACCAAAGAGCAAGCATGAGCCACTGCAGTAGCAGGCACCGATGTGACTTCAGGTCAGTTCAATGTACGGTAGTGTTTCAACTACCTCTCTGACAAGGGTACAGTGCACAATTTCTTGCTTCCATATTGTTTGGAATACAGAGCATATGTGTAGAAGTCAGAGGTCAGTGTTGGGAATCTTCCTTGGGGCTCTTCACCTTTCCTTTTTTGAGACATAGCTTGCGAATGAGTGTTTTGCCTGTGTTTATATCTATGTACTACATGCATGCAGTACCCTGGAAGGCTACAAGAAGAAGTCAGATCTTGAAAGATTGGAAATGCAGAGGATAATAATTACCCTGTGGGTACTTAGAGAACCTGAGTCCTCTGTGAGAGCAACACTCAAGTACTCAACCACTGAAAAAAAATCTTTGAAGCTCTCCACTTTATTTTTTTATTTTTTTAATGCCGAATGCCATTTATTGAAGGAGGGAGGAGGTCTTAAATACAGGCTTACAGCACAATGGGACAACTCCAGAGGCCAGAAGTTCGCTACCAATGTTTTACAATCTTGCATCTAAGCTGTTAACGCCCATTATGCAGGATACACAGACAAGGAACTTCCGTTAAGCATTCAGAATGGTGGAACCCAGCAGGGAATTAGCATAGGGAGGATATCAAGGTCAAGGTCAGCAAGCAAGGCAACAGTTACCCAAAAAAGGGGCCAGAGCCCTACAGGTCCCCCTTTTACTAAAAAATGAGCTTCTGACTTAGGTTGCATGGGACGTCAGCAGGTCACCTTACCCATCATGGAGATGCCTGCCCAGGCCACACAGGTGCTCTGTCTTAGGTTGGTGAGTGCCCCCCAGATATTACCTGTCTCTGAATACTCATTATCACACAGGCTCAATCCTGTGTGAGCTGCAGAGTTAACTGCTGCCAAAGATCTCAAAGTGGCGCTGGGCTTGCAATCTGTGTGTTCAACACATAAAAGACCAACAGAAGTCCTAACCCACCCATAGCCAGTAGGCTAAAGGCAACTGAGCCATTCCCTTCCTTAATGAGCCTTACTGCAAATTGGAGTCCTTGTAAGATGGTATTCCACTTTATTTTTTGAGGCAGGGTCTCTCACTAAACCTGGAGCTCATCAATTCAGCCAGGCTGACAGGCTAGCAAGGGACCTTCCTGTCTCTGCCTCCTCCAGCTCTGGAGTTCCTCATGCGGGTCAGTGTTCTTGCCTCTCTATGTAGGTGCCAGGAGTCTAAACTCAGGACCTCGTGCCTCACAGAAGACATTCTTCTGACTCGGCCCTGGCCCTAATCATAATATTTTTATATTTATACTAGATGAATAAGAAAGTTTTAATGGATTTAAAGAGGTTATGATAACTGAGTTTTAACCAGCCCTCAGACCTTATCACAGAGAAGTTTCTTTATTCAGTGGATAATGGTTAACACAGAAACTCATAGTCCAAGTGCAGAGAATAAGTGATTGATAAGTGATTAGCCACAAATGGGATATCTATATCATGTATCCCTACAAAAGAAGCTCAGGGATCATCATGGGAGATGGAGTGTGAGGATGGTAAGACCCAGAGGTTGGGGAGGATCAGAGCTAAACTGTCTTCTGGACATGACAGCATTACTGTGCAAATAAACCCACAGTGGTTGTTGTTGCCTGTACATGCCAGCACAAGACCAAGCTAAGCATCACTTTAGTGGAGTGGGAAGAGGTTCATCGAGCCTTGGACAGATGATAACTTCTGGAGGAGGAAGAGTTAATTTTCTTTACGGGTGTGGCTCCTGGCAGGTCAACCACACTCCAGTGTGTGACTCCACACCCAGGACTGTATGCACAGCACAAATTGGAGTCAATGGATTACTATGCAAATAAATTTAAAAACAGAAAAAACAGGAGGACACCAGTTTGGGGTGAGTAAGGAGGTAGATTTAGGTAGAGATGATCTGTGAAGAATTAAGGGAAAGAATTGTGGGTGAATGTGGTAAAAATATGTAATATAAAATTCATAAAGAATTAATAAAAATATTAAAAAGTACAAGCTAATCAAATGCGGACTTGAATTCTGGTGGTTTAGTTTGTAGAGAAGGTGCTGTGGCATTTTCCATCTCTACTGAAGACAAAACAAGTTCAAATGAACTTGCAGGGGACTGATTAGAATCAATTAAGCTACCAGACTAACTTCCATATGGTGGGAATCTGGCATTCCCTTGCAAGAGAAATGAGGATTTTTCTCTTTTTTGGCAATATTTTAGACACACCAAATCAGCTCAATTCCTGTGACACTTATCTTCAAAACTTCACATTTGGTTTGTAGGAAAATTGAAATTAATTATTCTTAAGCATATGGTTTGTTCCCTCCCCCTCTCCTTATTTGATTTTGTAGTGCATATGATTTTTTTTTTCTCCAAGGACATATAAAAGTCAAAATACTAGATCTAGAGTCTCTGAAGTGCTTCTGCTCCCAACCCTGTCTGTACAATCTGAGTTCTTTCAAGTAGTTAGCTTACTAGCTTCTGACACTTCTATAAAAATATCCCATAGAGCTTTTCTTATTACGTTTTCATTGACTCTCTCCGAGTGATAAAATGAAATTCTGTAAAGGGCTTTGAAAACCATGCATATTGCAATTCCTCCACATTTCAAACACTAATCAAGTGTGACTATAAAAGAACCAACCACTGCAGTGAAAATTGCCGGAGCGGGTTGAGACTCAAGCCATTATTAATTCATTGGAAACTATTTTTTCTTTAAGATTATGGATCCTACAAAGTACCAGATAACACAATTCCTGAGATCAAAGTTTTTTGTTTCAATCACAGGGAACTTGGGTATCTAATCTTCCCAGCGTGTGCATTTCTAGGATAGTACAGCGGCTGCCCCAGCTGTGCCCTGAGTGAATAATGCAGAGTATTTCATAGACCAGGGAAGCACCCAATCTTACACAGTACCCATAATGGATGGCTTTAAGGACAAAAGGAGCCTCGGATTAAAATAATAGGTCTAGACTATTGAGACTTCTTAGCTTCCTACAAGAGAGTAAAGTGAAATTTCCCTTTGTAGGTTAATTTCAACATGTATCAGCTTGAAAATTACCCACTATGAGTGTCCACAGAGTATTTTTATTTGCTTTCCCATCTTCAAAGACAATCAGGTTAGAATCTTCAGTATGAGCTATCATGGCCTGACAGTCCTATACATAAAAATAAAGGAGCAAAGTAGAGCAGAAAGAAAATTTTGCCAACTTTGTTTTATTTCATGTAGTATATAGAGCTTTATTTAAAAAAAAATAAACTGGTGAATTTGACTCGCACTCACTATGCTTGGTATGGAATGCTTTTTTTTTTTGAATATCCAGTAGCCTCCTCTTGAGTTCAAGAGGAGCAAATGAAACCCTTCCTAAGCTGTTTTCCCAACTCCTTTTTCTTTGAGACAGGATCTTGCTATATAGCCCAGGCTGGCTTTGAACTTACAAAAACCTTTTGCCTCACCACTCCAGTCCTAGAACTATAAATATGAACTACCACAGTGACTTCTTCCCCCAAATACCTAGATATTTGTTAATAAATTCCTAGCTTCTTTTGTGTGTGAATGTGGTAGCTGTTGAACTGTTTAGCATATCTCAGGTGAAAAATTACAAGTCATCATTAGGACAGAGGTGCTACTTTTCTGATTTTGTGTCTCCAGAATACCCAGCTTTGTTCATCAGATGTAGGAGATGGAACCTTTACTGATACATATCTGATGATAAAAGTGTAGAAAATTATTGAGCTAGTCAGTCATTGTAAATAGAGAGATTTTGCTAAGAAGCCAAACAGAAACTAGGCAATGGCAATGGGATCTACCATAGTCAGATTCAGAGAAACTAACTCTGAACAGTATTGCCAGCCCCATTTCTTTTCTCTAAGACACTGCTGAAGGCATTTCACTGACCCCATAGATGACCTTCCATGGGCCCTTAATTTGCTCTAATAGCTTGATGATTCTCACGTCATCTTTTAGTAACATCATCATTAACTCTGCATGTTTTGTCTATAAATAAGAGCACAGCTCTCTGAAAGTGCCATATGTATGTGGTATGAGGGTAAAGTTCAGACCTCTGCAGTCTTAGTGATGACTGCTCGTTTTAAAAACTTGCTCCTCCACTTGCTCATAGTGTGCCATGAGCAATTTGTTAAATTCTCTGTATTTGTCAAATTGGATCCATAAGAGCGCTACACCATAGGCTGAAAGTTAATTTAACACATAGTAGACTCCAACTATGTCTTGAGGTTGTGGCTCTTGTGGGCATTGAGGCTTAGTTTGCATTTTTTTTTTCCTTTGAGAATTGTGCCATCTTGGGATTTTTATAGCTATGGACAAGGGAGGGGATGAGAATCCCTCCTTGGCTAAGTCACTAGTTCCTGAGTCTAAAAAGCATTGCTACCATGGCATTGCCTGGGTGATCTGATCCCAGTGTTGTCCTCTTCCTCCTTGGCAATGATGAGTAAACAAGAGTACAGTGCCCCGCTGTTCAATCAGCTCAAGAGCTATTTAAAGTAGCTGACAGGTGTTAAGCGGAAATATTTGCATTAAGCAGGGTTTTTTTTTTTTTTTTTACACCCAGATCCCTGGGTTGATTTGCACAATGCAAGTTGATTGGGAAGTGATCTCAGGAAAAATACCCCAGGCGGGGGACTCAAAACAGGCTTGGGCAGAGGGAGAAGATGAGTTCTGATACAATCATACAATCACTAAAAGGCTTCAGGGAATGTCTCAGGGAGCTCGGGAATGGGCGTGACTCTTTGAAGGTGCCCTGAGTTGGGGCAGTCATCTGTCCTTCCTGTACCCACCAGTCATTGCATGCAGCTGTCCCTGCCACTGGCTGTGACTATGGATAAGGAGGCTTCTTTGGGCCCAAAGCAAAGTCATTCAGGATAAGAGAATTAATATTTATCTGGGAGAAAGGACTTATTATGTGCATTACTCGTTAATTACTATGATTGCTTCTGGTGAATTCCCTGGATAAACAGGGATCTACTTCCCCCTTCCTCCTTATGTGTCCCTCTGGGAGCTG